TCATCTTCTGATGCTTCCATAGTTTTCTACATTTGTTAATCATCTTCTGGTGCTTCCATAGTATTCTACATTCGTTAATCATCTTCTGATGCTTCCATAGTGTTCTACATTCGTTAATCATCTTCTGGTGCTTCCACAGTGTACTACATTTGTTAATCATCTTCTGGTGCTTCCACAGTGTACTACATTTGTTAATAATCTTCTGGTGCTTCCACAGTGTACTACATTTGTTAATCATCTTCTGATGCTTCCATAGTGTTCTACATTTGTTAATCATCTTCTGATGCTTCTATAGTATTCTACATTCGTTAATCATCTTCTGATGCTTCCACAGTGTTCTACATTCGTTAATCATCTTCTGATGCTTCCACAGTTGAGTTACTCCCCAGCTTAAAGGTTACTGACATTTCATCTTCCCAGAACCAACATTCTACTATATTTTAGTCAATTATAAAATTTTCTGGATGTTACATACTCTAGTTTTATCACCAATCTCAACATGGTTAAGTTATAAAATTAGGGCTAAAAGAAAACAAAAATTTTTTAAACAGTTTTTTTTTCCCAACTGACTTATGAATCCTTTCTTTTAACCAAGATTCCTAGGATTCTATCAAGTCCTTATAAAGTTGAAACCAAGAGTAGCAGTGGTCTGCACATTGGAATTTAATTAGGATGCAAAAAGGGGTGCCAAAGTCCAAAGGTCATGACAGAAATAACAATGGAAAACAGTTTTTGGCTTATTCGCGTTTCATCAGCTTTACTTTAGAAATAACTGTATATTTAATACATTTTTAAACATATTATAAAATACAAATACGTTGTCCTTTATGTTAATATATCATACTAACCTCCTCTCCGTCTTCGCTCACCCAGAGAGGGATTGGTGTTCCCCAGTAGCGGTTCCTCGAGACAGCCCAATCATGTGCATCTCTCAGCCAATTAGCAAACCTTTTCTCCTTAACAAACTCTGGTACCCTGGTTACAATGGTTACAAAAATATCTTAACTCATCATTCAATGGTACCCTTAAGATATTTTTGTAACCAATAACACTAAGATCTGTCTTGTTGTGTGGATAACACCTAGTATAACTCAATTTGTGAAAGTTTTTATACGAGTAAAATTTAAAATACTACAAGAATGATGAGCTAAGTTATATTTGTAACCAGGGTACCATTGAATGATTAGTTAAGATATTTTTGTAACCAGGGTACCATTGAATGATTAGAAGTTCTGTCTTGTTGGGTGGATGACACCATAAATATCCTATATTCTAAAGAACAATCTTGGCAGATACAAACATGACCGTCATGAAAGTAGAATTATGAAGCGATCAAGTAGTTTTTGTTTCAAGAAACAACACTTGCCTGTATACAACCTAAGAGCCAAAGGACATTATCTAATACACAAAATGACAACATACGTTCTGTGTTATAAAACCTTGCAACCAACAATACTGTTCATTATACACAATATTAAAAATTCTATAACAATAATTTGTCTTAACAAATGTTGTTGCAGCATGGTAGAATTTAAAGACAAGAAAAATGAATAAATACACCAATAAAACTGACCAATATTTTAGCCAACTGACCTTTCTTTTTCTTTCTTATTAACTGCACACTTTCCAAAACCTTTTTGTCTTAACTTTCATCAGAAATGAATTGGAATAACTAAGAATAAGGCTCTATCTAAGTACTGGTGCTGCTTGCATATCGATCGATTTGTTTTACTAGATCTTACTCTGACCTACAAAAAAAACTTACACCACTCACCAGTATGTTTCTTGGTTTGTCTGGAGCAACTTTTCTGTCATATGTTCGACACGTATAAACCAAGATGGAACTGCTCGGTAAATGAGAGGAGTCTCGGACCGCCAGCAGAAGGGATAGCTGTGCTTGGTGGAGCTCTGATGAACGAGTCGATCGGCGGACTTCAGGTGTTTGATGATGTTCTTGTCGGCATCCTGAAGAAGATTCGTGAGTAATGTAAAAAGCAATTAAAAGATGATGATAATAATAATAAAACAAGTTCAAGTTGGGATGTCCACATTTATCTCTCTCTTGCCTCTCTGACAAGTTTAGAAGTTACTGAGAAGAGTAAATGTAGCTTATTTTTATTCCAGATATAAATAGAAGCTAGCGAGGGGGTAACCTCATTAAATTTGTTTGTCTCTCACTTGTCTGTCTGATATAAATAGAAGCTAGCGAGGGGGTAACCTCATTAAATTTGTTTGTGTCTT